CAAGCCCTTGTTTGAAACCTATGTCTTTTTCCTTAGGTGTCCTTGCAAAACTTTAATGGCACAGAGCAATACATGTAATGACCTTCTGCACTATCATTCTGTCGTTTGGGCACAGACATCGATTTTCCTTATCTTGGCATGTGAAGGAAGGAGTCTGATTCCTCTCTGTGTCTCCTGAGCCTGCAGTGGCACACACCCTCAGCAGAGCGGAGCAAGGCCACACAGAGTCTTTGAGGGCACTGGAAGGGGCACCTGTAGAGAGTGTGCGGGTTGGCTCAGCAGAGAGAGACCAGACTGTGGAGGACACTCAGAACAGGTGGCTGCTGCCCTGGGCCACGTGCATTATAAAGTCAGCCTGGCGGATGCTTGCGGTTGACCAGATGCCCCATTATGAAATCTCCATGTGAATGTGAGGCTTCTATAATTTTCGTCTGTGGACCAATTCATTATTTGTCCCTTCTTTACCGGGAGTGTAGAGAATTACTGAATAATGCAAAGTTACCTAACCCTAAAGATCCTGTGGGGGGGAAAAAGTGCCCATAAGGGAGTACCAATAATTTGATGAGACCGGTGGAAATGACTCTTTAAAAATTGTGTATTTTTATGGGTATTTTTCAACAAACGTACTAAATTTATTCTTGACAATTGTAATCTACCTACCTAACAATTTGATGAGAACTCTTTATTCCTCTTTCGTGTTAGCTGTTCCTTTTTTAAACTATTTCATTGCTACTGTGTAAACATTTTATTTATAGGAAGCTAAATTAAGTTGGGAAAGAGGAGTCTACCTCTGGTGTGTGAAATGTTGGAAAGCGCTTTGTTCCCTGCTTCAGTGGCAAAAAGCAAATGCAACATAGACATAAGGCTATTTGAACTCTTTATTTGCCACATTTACAATATTAATAACAGCGTTTCCAGAAGTTGTCACATCAAGTAAAAGATCTTCATTCCAGGCTGTCTTTTGGGGCCAAATTGAGACTGGATGCATGCATTTAATAAATTGTAGTCTCAAGTAGTCATTTTTGTAAATAATTAGTTTCAGTGAAAGAATAAGTTAGCATATTGTATGCATCTAATGTTGCAAATGTACATACAGCAAACTTTGCTATTAATCAACAGTCAAGCACCGCAAGTGGGGTCTCATACATAATGAATTGTGCTTAAGCCTCATGGGTTTCTTGATAGAAAAATAAAAGAAAACACAAGTGTAGTAAGCTTTTGAATAAAATTTAACTAGATTGCTCTGCATCCTGTAATTGTTTTGGAATCATTAGGGACCTGATAATTCATCCGTAGTTTTGGGGTGTTTTTATCTTCATCTGTCAAATAGGAGAGATTTTAATGGTATGTTAAAGTGTTGATAAAATACAGTTTTCCTTTCAACAATTTGAACGTTTAGGGGAGAAAGTAAATAGGCTTTTTTAAGACATTCTAGTCTGCCAAGTGTACTCTTTAAATTGTGTTTTAAAAATGTTTTATTGCTTATGCATTTGAGAATCATTTACAAAAGGGGAAAAAAAGTATGTAGTTCTTATGACACGTACCCTGTACGAGGAGGAGTTGAAAATTTACATAGAATTTTCTGGTTGGGGAGAGTGTTTTCAGATACCACCGTAAATTCCTCTGTGGTCGTGTTTAGGTTCTGACATGAATTCGAACCCCAGATTTTGAGGGCTTAGGATGCCCATTAAAAACTGATATCCAGTTTAAGCAACATACCTGTGACCACCCAGAAAGTGAGTAAATTGGGGCCCCGTTAAGTTTTACTGCCTCTTCCTCCTTCTATTGTTGACCTTGGGACGTGAACCATTGGTGGCCTCTGATAGGATCGTAAATGTAGAATTCATTTTGGGGGGTGTGCGATCGTGGGGTGGAAGGCATAAAGGCAAGGAGCAGGATTTATGTCCGTCTTTGTTACGAACCACACAGTAAAAGCTCAGCAAGGGTTTGCAGAGCACCTGTCAGTGCGCCAGCCAGCCCCTCCTGCAGAGACGGTGGAAATACCGCCTTCCCCACGAAGCCGTCCTCTTCACTTCCGTCTGGACTCAGAGCGGGCTCCCTTCGCCACCGGTTTCCCTCTGTTGTATGGTAGCACGTCTCTTCGTCTCATAGGGAATGATCTGTGAAAACAGAAAGTAAAACCTAGTACGTGAGAGTCAGTCCTTAAGCCCATGTGTTATGAGCAGTAGCAGCCCTTATCCCTGTTAAAATGAACAAATGTGTAAACGTGTCTCCCGTTTGTTATGTAAACGTCAGTATGTTGCTGATACTGCACGTCTGTATTCACTCTTCTCTTTGTCCCTTGACTACATAGTGCTGTTAGGGCAGCAGGAGAAATCCAGGAGCTGGCATCCGGACCGTCAGACGGGTGCCGGGCACACACAGTGCCCGCCAGGAGCCGCGCCGCTGGGTGAGCCCGTCGGTGGGCCTCTGTCCTTTGTCTTTGACTCCGTCCCGCTGTTTGAGACCAGTGTTTCTGGTACCAGCGTCAGCACTCTGATTCCCCCCTTCCTCTTTTCTTCCTAGTTTAGAAGTTGAAATAGTCGCGCAGACTCCCACCGTACACACCCTCGTGGTGGTGTTTCCCAACAGCTGCTGGCCACCAGGCCACGTCACGGGGCCATTGCTTGCATTGTCCATTCATTGGAGGGCATCGGGGAGGGAAGGGCTCCTTGGGGGCATCAGGGAAACATGGGGTTGTCCAAAAGGCAGAGTGGAAAGAAAGCTGCTGACACCAACTCCGTGTTCTACCTCCGCGTTCTTCCTTCTCCGCCTGCTTGGGCTACAAACACTGCGTTCATATTCCTGTCAATAAGCCATCGTGCCTAATGGATCCTCGATAATTGCTTGAACGGAATCAAGACGTGAAATTCACTTGGAGTACAGAGTTTAAAATCTTTATTCAGCCTCGGTTTTGCAAAAATCTGTTTTGATGGTAGGTGGCACAATTTATGTCCCGTCTTCAATCCTACCACTAGAAGCAAAGCATCAGAGCTTTAACAGGAAGGTGTGATTGGATGCGGGGCAAATACATCAGACACAAGCACAAGAGAGTCTGCTAGAGATCTGTTAATTTAGACCTCATAGTACATTTTCCAGTGATATTTAGCAGCGTGGTTTAAAGTCCCCTCTATTGCAGATTTAAAGTTTTGCTGAAAACGCACGCCTTCCTGGGACTATGGGTCTGGCGCTCTACTCTGGAGTCCGCACTGTGTCCTGGAAGCCAGACAAGGGGAGATTTGCTTATCTGGCTCGGCTTGGGAAATGTTTCTCATCGTAAGGGTGTCTAAAATGCCATACGTGGCCAAGGCCCTGGACTCCTCCTCCCACAACAAGTCGTACCCGGCATCTGTGTGCCTCCACACAGACTTATCTCTCAGCCTTGCCAACTGACACAACCTGGGTCAACTCCTGTCGAATTCCACATGAACTCCAAGGGCTACGTGTCTTCAGGGCTCTAAGGTCAGAGCTCTTTTCTTGGGTGAGCCTCCAACGTCACCAGTTAATGTTCCCAAACTGTAAGACTCCGTTTCATCCTGTGAAGACAGAGATGTTAGAAAAGTACTGGGGTCAAAAAGAGAGGTTTCCGAACGCCCAGCAGTCCGCCCCCTGGGTGTAGCTAATGCCGCTAATCAGATGCGAGTAGCTTAGAACTTTTGGCCTGTTTTCTTACATCAAATGGGATTTAAGCCAAGTACATGACATTTTAATGTCTTCGGGAAGTAGGATTCATTCAGAAACGGAGATTTAGTGATTCTTTACTACCGGCAGAGTCTTGAGGCTCCCCCAGACCTGAATACCCAAATCTCCTGCCAGGCTGGTTGAGTTTTAAAGTATTGAGCGAATTGGTAACGGGGAAGACCGCGGGAGCCGAGCTGTCAGGACGGCTCTGTCAGCTTTCCTCGTGTCGTGCCAGTACTGGACGCAGCCTCAGACCTTGAGCGCGGCTGTCTAGCACCCAGGCCGGCCTGGCGCGCTTCGCCCACTGCAGGCGGTGGGTTCCGGCTCCGCGGCTGCCGCCCCCCCTCAGCCCAGGGTGTGTGACCCGGCCGAGGGGGCCACAGCGGATGGGAAGCACCAACTCGGGCTTCCCGTGTGGCAGATGGACGGCTAGGAACCCCGTCCACTGGGGCCATTTCATGTAAACTTGGTCCACTCCCCTTGTGTCCCCCCTGCCTCTGGTGGGATGCTGCCTCTATCCCCTCACTTTCTAATTGAAATCCGTGTCTGGAAACGCGAGCTTCGTTTTGCGTAGGAAGGGCAGTCCTCCCTTGAAGACCACGTAGGCTCCTGTGTGGAATGCTGTGAAGTGACGGGCCCTCCCTTAATACGTGGCGGTAAAGGCATCACTGCCTCTGCTTCCTTAAAGACTCTTCAGAAGTTCATCCTGGAGCGCCTCACACTTTTTCCGCGTCCTGATTCGGGTTGAAGGACAGACCTGAGATCTGAAATAGTTTAACGCCAGAACGTTCTTCCTCCAAGCCCCAGAAGGGAAGGGGTCGGGGCTGCCTCTTCCAACGGGGCAGGAGTCCGGGAGAACTTCGCATGGGGCTTTCTCTCTCACTGGGGCTCCAGGAGCTTCCCCAGAAGGCCACACGCTGTTGTCCTGGGATCGCCAGCAGTTGCCTCTTTCTGGAAGAGACCCTTAAGCCAAACGACATGTGGTTTTATGTTTGCCTGTGGCATGGTGTGCCCGGTGCTGTCCACTGTCCTGCGTGTGACTCAACAAAGCCAAATTCATTTGTCAGCCGCTAGCCAGCCCTCTTGTGCCAGGTTTAAAACAAACAAACAAACAAACAAACAACAACAACAACAAAACAGGAGAGAAGGAGAAGGGCTCCAGTGTCCTGCATTTGCCTCTGGGTGACTCTTACTGATGATACGTGACTGTGAATAAAGAGTGACTGTGACGTGTCCCCTTTCTGCCCTCTCCCAGCCGACAGCAGGACAGGGCCCTGTCTGTGCTGCAGCGCTGGCTTCCCGGCCCTCGGTCTGGGCTCCCATGCGCCGGTGCTTGCCTGTAATCAGTGGGGCTTCAGGGCTGGTCGATAGGGAAGCCTGGAGAGACTCCTCCCTAATAAGTGCTGCCGTCACACCGCAGCTCGCGCAGGGGCAAGCGAAGCGAGGCTGGAGGGGAGGGCAGGGCAGAGAATAAATTTCGTTTTATTGTAGAAATGGAAATTTGTGTCATGGCTTTAAAAATCTGGTTTTATGTGTGTGTTTAATGCCATTCATTTTAAATGTAGTATCATAAATCCTTGCTTCAGAATCAAAGCTGTTTAATTACATTTCACCCATGAATAGTTACCTAATGCCAATAGAGAAAGAGTTAAAAAGGAGAACTACAGAGTAAATCAGAGGTTGAGATCTTTAGCACAAGCATAAAAAATCAATTTAAGATGAATTTTACTACTATAAAAATTCTTCAAATATCCTTTTAGGAGTGGGAAATGCTAGCAGGAACACAGCTACCAATCTAGTCCCTTAGCAATGTGGAGGGAGCGGCAACCAGCCTGGCCCCTTCCCCTGATGGCCAGGCACCCCCGTTTCGCTCCAGGGCCTCCGAGGATGGAGTTGTAACTCTTGGAGCAAAGCAGGTCGCTACTGGGTGCAGAGGACCCCCGTCTTTTGTGATGTAGGCCCCCTGACCCAGAGAACCCCATTTGCCACGTGTGTGATGGCCGAGCACACCCCACAAGCCCTGAGAGCATCTGTGGCCTGTGAGGGGCTGGCCTCGGCTGGCCCCAGTCTGGCCATGGAGATGCTGGGTGCGTGTGGGGCACTGTGGGTTCTTGATGCAGCCCCGGCCCCTCTCCTGCTTCCTCTGGACTGAAGCCACCCACGGGCTGAGGGTGGGGACGTGGGCACCTCAGCCCTGCTCACCCCCTGTGTGACCAGGTGTCACATGCAGATGGCCTCCTGCTCACGGCCTTAGCCACAAAGCTGCCCCCTGGACGGTGCCAGCTGTGTCGGGAGGGAGGCCTGGCTCATCCTCGGTGGACCTGTCTCCTGTCCCCCCCCCCCCCACCCCGGGAGCAGGATGGAACCAGCACGAGACACTCTTGCCCATCTTTACTTTCCAGTATCACCAGTTTATCAGCAAGGAAGGAACAGTGGGAGAACAGAGGGACTGGAATAACGTTTAAGCCAAGCACACGCGTAGGAAGGTCCACTCCTTCCCTGACCGGAGGTCCTAACGGAGAAAGGAGTCAGGGCAGTGAGGAGATGGGTTTCTCCCCCCAGGGATGTCTCGAGAGGCCCTGCCCCCCGCTCCTCTGGCCTCAACGTGCCTGTGGAGGGAGCAGGTCCCATGGGGCCCCTCTGTGGAGTTGGGGTCCAGGCCGACCAGAGGTCCGTCCACATGAGTTCCGGCCCACAGCGAGCTAGCGAGGAGGCCTGGGCCTGTTGCGTCCAGTCGGGAGTCGGCAGGATGGCCGGGCCGTGGCCAGCCCTCTCTGCCTGGCCGTTTGGGCAGGCTCAGTTCTATTTGCTGTCCGGTTCCTTCCCCAACACTGCCCGTATGTGAGTGCTTAGAAAGCCCTCCCTGATCCACTGTCTGTTCTCTTGTGGAAAAACAGTATAAAGGGCATTCTGCGCATCCCATCCAGGGAAGCTTATCTTTGGAAAGATCCCAGGACCTCAGTGGAGACCCTCATTTCCGCAGAATGCCGTGCCTGAGAGACTCGGACTGCAGTGCAGGAGCGTTTGTAAGACGCACTTCAAGGTCTTTGGCTGCTGCCTGCAGCTTGGAGGGTGAGGTTACACGGGCTTCTGGATCTGCGGTGCCCTGTGCGTGCCGCTGTCCTCACACAGGTCCGGCCCACGCTCCCGGGTGCCGCAGCCACGCTGTCGTCCCTGTGCTGGGCCACGCGGCCGAGTGGGTGGCGGCCTCTCGGTTCAGACCCTCATAAGGGCAGTGGGTGTGAGGTGAGAAAGGCAGCCCAGAGATTGACACACACGCACCCCCCCCCCCTCCGCAACACGCAGGGAGGGAGACGCGAGGGGTCAGGAAATGTACTGCTTGGACGTACGCCACCCCCAGAGCTTTAGTATCTGAGAATTCTAGATGCCCTCTGCCGACCAGGCCCAGCAAGCTGCTAGGAAGCCTGCCACCTGTGCTGAGCCTTCGAAGGTGAGGAAGGAGGTCATCAGAAGAAATCAGACTTGGGGCTGGCGCTTTTGTGGGTTTGGGGTCCTAGGAAACTACAATTGGACCCATCATGAAACTCTAGGGCTCAGAAGCACCCAAGTAAAGCCTCTCTGAGGGGACATTTCCTCGTTCCAACAGAGCATATCCCAGAGAGTCAGCACCTGCTGAAGGGGAGTCGGCTCTGGGAGGTGCCGCAGACAGAAGAATCAGACCCCGAGGGCAAGGAGCAAACTGAAGAGAGCCTAAACAACGTTGGTTTGAGCTGGAGATAAAAGGAAGAAGTGACCATAATGAGTGAAGAGTGGGATTTGGAGGAAAAAAAGTAAGCCAGAAGAGCAGTGTGAGGGGAGTTAGCCTCACAGAACGACCTCCACACAGATTAGACGCCTTGAAGCATAAGCATCAGCAGGCTGAAAGCAGACTTGGAGGAAATCCCCCAGAATGCAGCACCAAGTGATAGAAAATCATGAACGTGCTATTGTTGAAATTCAGTGGGAGGGGCGGGGTGATCAAAATGCAGTTTAATTACTTCGACAGTATTTGTGGAAAATCTTGTTGATAACACGTGGTGATCTGCTAGGTGACCGGGAGATGCGTCCATGCACCTGTTAGTCTCACGAAGGGGCAGGGCATGCACCCACCAGAGCGGCTTTTGTGCCAGTCATCCGTGCTCTGTCTTGTCCTGCTTCACCATGGCTGCAGACGCTCAGGGCCCCAGGCGGAAGAGCCCGTATACTAGGCTGTTCCTTCCCAGAATCCCCTCTTGTTTTCTAGGATGCGCTGTGTGTCTTAAAGCTGAAGGGGGAAACGTGGCTGGCAGACGTCCCACGCCCTCCTCCGGCGCCCTTTCCCATTGCTGTGCAGCAGTAGACTTTCACCCATGTGGGTAGAGTAGACGTTTGTTTGCTTTTCACATGTGTGGACGCAGGGCCTAGAGGCTTATTAAGCTCCTGTTACCGCTTTTGCAGAGCCATGGAGGCCCCCCCTCTTCCTGAGCTGCTCGGCCGTCCAGGGGAAATGACAGCACCCCTGAAGCAGTGCGTGGCCTGGCTGGATGCCTATTTCCATGAGCCGGCGGCCCTCAAAGACCTCCCCTTGCCTGCGATTCACCATCCCGTTTTCCAGCGAGGTCAGTAACTCCGCCGCCTCCTAGGGTTTCGTTCAGGGAGCTTGACTTATTAACTATCACTTACATCACAGCTCATTTTATCGACTATACTGACTTGGTATTTTTACATCATCTAAACAGAGACAGCATGTGGCCACGCTGTGAGGACAAGAGTTCACGATCTCCACCCATTCCAAATGCTTGTGTTAGTTTTGGCACATGGTCACATAATTCTTGGCAAAGGCAATAAAAATGATGCATGCAGATCGACTCTTAACTCTTGTTGGCTGAAGGGTTTAAATGGGAACACATCTGAATAGCAGTGAATTTTTCAATAAGCTTATTGTTAACTTAAACTATCTGCTTGCCAACAGCACAGAAAATGAGGCTTGTACATGGACAATTAGCCACTTCCATAAACTCAGTTGGTGACATTTACATCAGAGTGGGTAGCCGCATTGTGTCTTCTTGAATAAGTTTTCAGTTTAATTTCTCAAACTTACCCTAGTTTGATATAGTGTTCTTAAAGGATGAATTGAGAACGTATTGCCTAAATGTTGTATGCCAAAGGCACATGGTCTATGGTCACCAAAAACATTTTCCCAGAAATTTCCTTTTAAATTGTTGTTGGGACCTTAATTACGGCAACTAAAATTATTCTAGACATGTGCCGGGGGCTTATTTTACGTAGTGATTTTTTTTTTATATTCGTTTTAATAAAGCGCGTGTATATGTATATACATCTCTGTATAGATGTGTAGACACATATGCTCAGGGGACAAAATTACCCTGAGATTTTAGATAAGGTGCATTTAAAGCAATCTTGAATTTCGAAATGGATTAAATGAGCTTAACGGTATTCTAATAGCTGCCATGATTTTCAGCAAAAAGGAACTTGAAAATGGAGTAGAATTTCTAGGGGCAGTGGATAGAGAAGCCCCTGTGAAGTTGAGCTAACACCTGAGTTGACTAACAAGGTCAGACAAGTGAGCAGAGAACACCTTGAGCTTTGTTGCACATAATGAACTGAAATGGTACAGCCGTAATGAACAGGGCCCCTTCTTCACCCCCTGTGTCCTCCGGAACGGTCTCCAGCATGGGTGTGGGAGCTACAGCAGGCCTTTGCCTGTCACTGTGCACACGTCCAGAAACCCTCCCTGGTCTGCATCCTGGATGGGCCCTCAGGGCGCAGGGGAGCCTCAGCTGCTCCCCGGTAGCTTGAGCCAACTGGGTGCATGGATGGTGCATGGATGCCGCAGGACGCACGTGTGACCTCTGTGTGCTGCGCGGGCTGAGGAACTCAGGTGTGGTTGGGTTCTGAAGTAGGGGCTTCGAGATCCCGGTGCTCTGAGCTCGTGTGTCCACATCAGCACTCGGGGAGTACTGCTGTGTCGCTGGGGGAAGGAAGAGTTGCCCGACTGGCTTCCCTGCCCTTAAGTCTAATGAATAGTGAGCTGAAATTTAAGGTTTTGAAAGTTTTAGGACGGAAAAATTATAAAGCCAAGACAGGAAGTCTCTATATAATCAAAGGGGCTTTGGGGAGTGAGCTTATTAAATCCTGAGGTCCTGTCCTCAGTGTTTGAAGAGGGTTGGGACTGGCCACACTTATCCTGCCTCCCTGGCCTTGGGCCCCAACGCCCACGGCCTCTGCTCGGCTAACCGGTCACGGTCAGTGACCAGGACGAGCCGGAAGCAGCCGCTGGGGTAAGGATGAAGGCCATCCAAGCCAACCTGGAAGCCTTCTCCGTCGGGCGAGCCCCACAGTGCTGGCGGGCACTTCCAACTGGGGCGAGATCCTCCTAGCCAGCTTTCGGGGAGACAGGGTCCCCTGGGCCAGCCCCGCCTCCTGACAGTTAGTGGTTGCTGCGGGCCGGGATTTCCCACGCCTCGGCATGTGCAAGCCAGGTTTTTCTAATTTAGCTCGATCGCTCACTCCCAGGCAGGGACCAGGTGTGGGGATTTTACGGTTTAAGAGGGGAGGTGGTGGATGGTTATAATACAATTGCTAACACGGAGTTAATTGGCACTAACCCCCAGATGTGGTAACACCCCTTTCTAGCCAGTGGTAGTTGGCTTTGCTCTGTTTCTACTTTGGATCTTGTGGCAACGCTGAAATCATGGCGAGCGGGCGGGTCCCGTGCAAGGAAAATCCTCTGAGGCTCTGGAAGCTGTGCTTTAACATAAAGAAAGAAACCTTTGCAAACTGGGAGGCATGGGTACATTTCAATATGGAATAAATGCTTTTTTTTTTTTTTTTAACAAATTCTATTTTCTGTGCGTCTTAATTTTTGAACACATTTGACATGGCTTGGCATATCATTTTTCCATCATGGTCTTGCCTCTGAGATTTAGGCCAGGCCTGCCTATTTCAGTGTGTTTTAAAAACGTAATCCTGACTGTGGCCACCCTTGCGCTCCAGCCCCCCGACCTGCTCTTCCTCGGGTGCTGGCCTGTGGACCGGGGACCCCTATGCTGCGTCCCATGGGCCCCTCTCCTGCACGGGCCAGACTGCTTCACCGTTTCAGGCTCTCTGTGGGATGAGCACACCATTCACCATTGGCTCATTTTGTAAGGCGGGTCACACACACACACAGAGTTAAGCATATAAAATTGCCAGTTTTGTGGGTTAAAACTTAACAAATAGTGGAAATTTCCCATAGTTCCACTTCTCTTGGAAATCCTCCAAGATTGATTAGTAGTAACAAGTCAATTGTCTGGGTGTTTCGGCCAAGGAACCATGAAGCTGTCTATCCTGACCAGAAGTCTGGAAGTCTCTGTGGCTGCCTTTTTCTGGAGCCGCCACAGATAGGGTTTCTCTGTGGGAAGGGAAGGCTGCAGTTACTTGGAGTGAAGTTCGGGGTGCTGTTGAGGGAGTCAGAAGAAAAGCAAGTATTGGGGCGCCTGGGTGGCGCAGTCGGTTAAGCGTCCGACTTCAGCCAGGTCACGATGTCACGGTCCGGGAGTTCGAGCCCCGCGTCGGGCTCTGGGCTGATGGCTCGGAGCCTGGAGCCTGTTTCCGATTCTGTGTCTCCCTCCCTCTCTGCCCCTCCCCCATTCATGCTCTGTCTCTCTCTGTCCCATAAATAAATAAAAAACGTTGAAAAAAAAAATTTAAAAAAAAAAAAAAAAAAAGAAAAGCAAGTATTGACCAAGATGCATTCATTTTCTTGGGATACTGTGTTTTTAGTAGAGAGCATTTTCTTTTAAAAAATGGGTTGTTTTTGGAGTTTTGAGGCGTTTTGCCCTTTGCTAATCTGCTTTATTAAAGTATCAGCATTCGGGGCGCCGGGGTGGCTTGATTGGTTGAGCGTCCGACTTCGGCTCAGGTCATGATCTCGTGGTTCATGAGTCCGAGCCCCGCGTCGGGCTCTGGGCTGACAGCTCAGAGCCCGGAGCCTGTTTCAGATTCTATGTCTCCCTCTCTCTCTGACCCTCCCCCGTTCATGCACTGTCTCTCTCTGTCTCAAAAATAAACAAACATTAAAAAAAATTTTTTTTTTAATTACAAAGAAAATAATACAGTATCAGCATGATCATTCGCGGTAGCCACTCTGAGGACCAGCAGTCTTGGGGAGCGTTTTCAGGAGGTCAGGTGCTCCCTTATCAAGTTCTTGCAAAGGTCAGCTTGGTTTCGAATTCATTTTTCTCCAAGAAATGGTTATTTAATGAAACCATTACTCTCGAAATAAATCTTAATGTTTCTTTTATAATGAAATGTTAAAGTCCTTTCCTGTTAACGTTCTCCAACTTTGTATTTATTTACTGAAAATAACGTGACTTCTTTGTATAATATGCATCTTTACATCCTTATCCGTCAGTGGCAAAGCAGCTGGGAAAATAAAAAGCTGCACTTTGCCGGAAGCGCGATTCACAGAGTTCAGGGAGAGCAGCCTTTGGGGCAACTACGACCACCTTTCAGACTCAGAATGCGCGTGCACGCTTTTTTCCCCTTCTAAGCTCTCCTGTCTGTAGGGGTGCTCTGAGCAGGGGCGGTTGCAGTCTGCAGGGCGCTGGGCAGCTTCTGCCAGGCTGGGGTGGGGGCTTCCTCCGTGGATGGCCCAGCTTCGCACCGTGGCCCCACATGAGGCAGCCCCACGCTGCGAGCCCGGTGGTATGCGTGGTGGCCCGGGCCCTGCACCGTCCGAGGCAGTGTGCGCCCCATGGTGAGCCCCGCAGCGTGAGCCCTGCCGTCTGAGCCTGGCGGTGCGGGTGGCGGTGTGAGCCCTATGGCGTGAGCCCTGCAGCGTGCGTGGCGCTGTGTGGGGTGTGAACTCTGCAGGGAGAGCCCCACGGTGTGAGTCCGGTGCAAGCCCCGCGGTGTGCGGATGGTGGTGGACCCCAGCTGCTGCTTCCAGTGTCGTCTCACAGATGATGGTTTTCAACAGATGAGTTCTGAGTTTTCTTTTCAAAGTGACTGCAATGTTCCCTTTTAAATGAAATATTTAACACTTTAATAATTCCTTCGTCACAGCTATTAGCTCGTAGCTATGAAATCCAGTTGCATGACAGTAGTAAAATCTGCATTTTTTTAAACCTGCCGGCGAGTAGTTTTTTTGTAACTTCTCTTACAAAGCCTCGAAAAGGATTCTTGTGTTTGTGTATGTCTGTCGAACACCCTCTTTCCAAGGGGCCTCCTCTGAAAGCCCTGCCAGAGACTCACGGGAAAGGCCCTTCCAGGGTGAATTAATTAATTTCCCCACTATATCCTGGAAGACAGTCCCACTGTGCGGTGTGCCTTCCAGTGGAGGCCGTGTGTGGGTCCTGGAAGGCAGTTGGACAATGAGGAAATGAATAGCATCATTACCTCGAGTCCTTACCAGAGACAGTCCTTTAATATTAAAAATCCACCTCTGAGAGCCAAGCAAGGGCTAATCATGCCAGCGCTCCCCCCACCCACCCCCGCAGCCTTCATGGGGCACAAGGGCTCCTCTGCCCTCCTGCCGTCACTCACGTGCACGAAATGCACAGCACACCCGGCCTCCCCAGCCAGGCTGTCTCCCCAGGAAAGAAGGCGCTGAGCCCCCTTCCCGTCCGTGTCCCGGGGCCTGCTTTACTGCCCTTCACCTTTGCTCTTGTGAGTCCTGAACACAGCCCGGGTCCGTCTGCAGAGGGTGCGGCAGGGGAGGGTTTTGTCTCAGCCTCTCCTACACGTACGCAGCAGGAGGCAGCTTTGTGCTTTCAGGAAGTTTGGACTGGTATTTTCCCCTGGACTTAAAAAAAAAAAAAAAAAAATAATAGCAAATTAAAGGGAAGATAATAACTAAAATAGGTGATGGCATTTACAGTTTCTGGTTGGTAGCAGTCACGGTCCTCCCGTATCGTAACAATTGCTGGCCTTGCTATGATGTTACCTAGTAGGGCTAGGAGGTTTGTAAACCTTCCAGTGCCCACTTATCGATTAGAACAAGCTAACAACACGGCACTTAAATTAAGTGGGAGAGAAACAGCTGGTGAAAATGTACTTCTTCCAACCCTAGAGCTGCTGAGCTGCTTTTCGGGAGCAGCAGATGTGGAAATTTGGCCCAAGGCCTTCTGAGGCCAGCACCGGGAAAGGTGGATCAGTAGCCTGGGAGGAGGGGGTGGCAGGCACCCGGGTCAAGGTCTCGAATCAGGAGCAGCCCCCCCACGTGTGTGGTTTGGAGTCACAAGGAAGAGGGTAAGGGTGGGGGTGTTTATGAACAAAAGTAGGCGTGAACCCTGAAAGTAAATGGTGTATGAGAGGTAGAGTGAGCCCTGCAAGTGACCAAGGTTGTGAACGAGCCGCCTTCCTCTTTGGGGACATTTACCCTTACAGGGCCTGATAATCGGTCCCCGTGAACCCCTCCCCACAGCACCAGAAGCCACCATTTTTCTCAAAGCACATGGTTTCTCCACTGCCCCTTCTGTCTGGCTGTGACACCTTGCTTTCCTGGGAATGTTTCCTGTGGACAGGAAGCAGTGCCCTGCATGGGCTCATCACGTCTCCTGGCCCCTGTCTGCATATATGAATATCCACATCATTTGTAGCTCCACAGCAGAATCGGTGTTAGATGACCGGAATTCTGCATCCACACTGAGGGTTTCTCTGGGTCAGGGGCTCCCAGCCTGAGCAGAAAGGAGAGGCACTTGGCAGGGTAGGTGCTCCCTGGGGGCGCCCAAGGGGTGCTGGCTCTGTAGGCCGTGGCCGTGGTCCTGCTTGCTTCTGGCTCTGTCTGCGGGGGTCCAGCCAGGCCAGCTCGGAAGCAGTCAGCATACTTCACCCTTAGCTCTTCAACTTGACGGATCAACTACGCTTTGGCATATTGGTGAATTTCACGGGCCAGAGAGCCTGAGGTTCAGATTATGTCTTAGTTCATCATTTCCTATTGTATTATGCTGTTTCCTGCCTGGTAATTGTCCTTGGTGTTTGTTTATTCTTTGTACTATGCGACCACATCTTGGATGAGAAGTTTTTAGTGTCAGCAATGATTCATTTAAACAAACAGCTTTGTAAGTTGCTCTCCTATCTCCTGCCCTTCATCTGGGAGTGTGTGTACCAGGATGCTCTAGACTGTTTGTTTGTGTTATGCCTACAATCTCTGTACTTCTCAGCCTCCAAAGACACGTCAAAAATCTTAAATATGGGCAAATAACAGATACACGCACACACATTTGCGTGTGTGTGTATGTATGTACACATCACACGTATAAGTGTGTGCATCATATACATACATTTCCCCGATTTTGAGAATTGCTGCTCGCTCTGAAGGAATTTGTTGAAATGGATCAGACTCTTAGAGCTTCACTCTGTGCTCAGGTTCACATTTCTAATTGAATAACGATTTTTGTTTGAGGCCTAGAATTGCATATTTAAGAGCTGTTCTAGCTGTTGTACTTAACAACTTCTAGAAGTTCTAGGTTACGTATCCATGTGTCTGCCTAATCTCGAACTCTGCCCGCGGCCACGTGAGGAGGACCGAGAGCCAGTGTGCTGTTCATTTTTTGTAATTTGGAAGGTGTGAGCAAGGCTGGCTGCGCATCAGCATCTGTGCCATCAGGTTACAAAGTCACGTGACAGTGAGCCCCTCAAGAGTGTTCCCAGGTGCGTCACTTTGCCAGGACACCCCCTAGTAGAGTGTTGACAGAGCTGACCAGAGCCTTTGGGAGGTGTGCCCTTACCTGTGGCCCAAAAGTGTGGTTCTTCTTTGAAGCGTCTGGGTGCGTGAAGTTCTAGATTCTGGGGGAGACCCCTGAACAACAGAAGCAAGACGACAAAGGGAAGAGGTTGCTTCGGGTTCTGGATGCCAGCTTCGTCCTCCGCACGTCTAATGTAGATCCCGTCCTGGGGTTGCTGCGGAGGAGGTTAACGGTCACATCACCCAGAGTGTCCCCTTAGACCTACCCTAGGAGTTGTAGTATGTGCCCCCTCCCACAGAGGAGAATTGAGTCTGTCCGTGGACACCAGCTTCCGAGATGCTGGCAGTGGCTGACCAGAATCACAGCCTGCCAGACCCGAGAGCACGTGTGGTGTTCCTGTGCCGCGAGCCCTCTGATAAATCGTAATTACCATGGGCTCATGGGAAGCCTAGTTCAGTGAAAGTTCCATCCTAAATATGGGGAGGTGGTCAGAGCCTGTGTTCCCTGAGGTTTCCGTCAATCAGGCAAAAAAAAAAAAAAAAAAAAAAAAAGAACTTGAGAATGTCTTTAGTGAAGGCCACCGGGGTCACAGTATAATTTAACCAAGCTTAAAAGGTAACCCAAAGGTGGTTTGAAAGTCAGCTACTTTCAGACTTTGTGTAGGATTTAACGGGATCTCTTTTGCAAATAAATAATACTTGAAATTGTTACAAGTGTAGCTTTTATGGGAAAATACATTAAAATATAACTGTGACATCTAGCACAATAATTAAACAGCAAACTGGCGAAAGTTTCACCCTCGTTATGTTCACGCGTTTAAGAAGATCACCGACCGTGTCCTTGTGTTGGGTACGTATGGGTATTCTTTACCTCGGAGCAGCAGTGTCAGATTTCTATGTACCGAGCAAAGAAAATTGCAGTGTCTGTTTCCTCAACTTTCCATTTTAAGTGGGCTTTGAAAAGTAGGAATTTTCTATCAGGTCTATATTTTAAAGTGAAAAACAGACTTTTCACTTAAATGTGCTTTCAAAATTTTTATTCCCACTGTAGGCATTAGATTAACATGTGTTGCTTCCAAAGAGAAGGTTTCAGTATTTTTTTTGTCATAAAATATTGTATATTCACATTTTACAGGCAGCGTTAATGCATTTTTAAATGCATTTTTATACCATCCGAGAAGTAATAAATAGGATTCTCTCTACCACCTGGGTTTATAGAGAAAATTATATTTTAATAAAAAATGTATAGAGAATTGGACTGTAAATTATCAATACATTAAATATATAAATGTTAGTACATTAATGGCAGTAACACTGTAACGCTATTTGTAGGAGCCAGAAGTGTAAAAACTATTACTTATTTAAATGCCTCATCACCTGTGATTTTTACCTGCAACCCTTATGTTCGGGCCGACTCAGAATACAGGGTTTACAGGTTGTGTGTACGTGTCAGAATGGGAAGATCTGATCTCTTTCCAAGGCCGTTTGCGTAGCCGTGTGATTCGTGCGGCGGTGGAGTCACCAGGGCGGAGCAGACCTCCCGAGGCTCGGCACGCTGGGGCATCGTGTTGTATCTTAATGGCACCAAACACAGTGCGTCTGAAGAAGGAAACTGGAGAATGAAGTAGGGGAAGGAAAGTCTTTAGCCTAAGATACATCTCAGTTACGAGTGATAAGTTATGAAAATCAGATCAGATTTCTCCTGCTCTCTAAATATTAAGGTAAACAGCGACAGTGTTTCAGAAAGTAGGATCCCTGGTGAGTCCTGCCCGCTCCCACCCCCCACCCCCCAGCTTCAAAAGCTACGGTATCTTCGTTACTATGGCAACTACTTTTGCATTTTTTTGAGTACCGCTCTTAATTGTTGCACAGAACACGCTGTGTAAAGGACCCATCCCTAGACGTGCGTGTGTACACGCATTGTCTGCTTTTTCTAAAAATGCATGCTCCTTCCTCGGCTGGGCCACGGTGGTCCGGCAGGCAACATGATCTTCATTTCAGCCTTTCCTTAGACAGTTTGAGGAAAACCCAGAAGCTGAGCTCATGCGACCTCGAGCTCATTGCTTGGCCAAGACATACTTTTCAGAGAAAATTCGCAGCTCTTCCTCTGTTTAGAAGAAGATATGCAAGAACCAACATAAATGGCACGTTCCCTCCCCCCCCCCCCCGCCTTTTTTTTCCTCAAGAATTGGGCCTTTGATGTTCAAGAGCAGCTAATATTAAAGGCCATCCCTGGCAGGCCTTAGAAACTGTGCCTATTTATGACCAATGTAAAACAGCGAAATCTAGCTGAGTATGATGGCATCATTAGTTTGTGAATCGCATCCTTGAAAATAACTGTGGAGGAGCCAAATCGGTTTAAAGGAAGATAACGGAATGGTTTAAGCTGCTTAGGTTGAATGCCAATTATGTTTTAATATTCAACTGAGCATATTTTACTAAGAAAAAAGGCCGCGTTGACGCATGCATAACTCATTGGCAGCGTCGGCCAGCTGTGCCACTCTACTCTGCGAATCACTTTGTGCATTTTAGTGGCATGGTAATTTAGTGGAGAACTACCTGAGTGATGGCATTTTCAATGAGCAGGTAATCTACAGAGAATTTTTATATGGTTATGAGTTCTGTGCTTCAGCCCAGCAACACAAAAATACATCAAGACCAATTACGGTATCAACTTTCAGCGTGGTACCCTCGCCACGCAAGTGCATGTATTTCTGCCCCGGGCATTTCAAATTGCATCTAATTTGAAATCTTTGGGGTTTTAATTAAATTTCAGAATATATGGAATTCTTCATTAGTACCTGCTCTGAATAGCAGATTATCCTTCTCCTGGTCTCGTTAAAGAAGTAGGCTGTGGTAAATAGCATGTTCAGGAACTGATCATTTGTGGGGCCTGGGTATTGGAACAGAAATAGTGAAATGCAAAATAATATCAAAAAGATTATTAGTCCAGGGAGAGTCTCTTGATTTGTATTTTAATGGAATTTTACATTTCTCTTAATGATTTGCAAATTGTCCTCTGATTATAAGATGCATTAAGCTTTTCATTTTAATGGCAAAGACACAGCCATTAGCAGAATTTTTTTTTTTCTGTCTTCTTTTTAGAGTGCTTCCCTGCAGCAGATAAATATTGAAACCATTAACACCTTTTGATGTTCCTCACAGCCTGCACCTTGGACCCACGCGAGGCTCCCGTGGTCTCTCAGTGTTAACACCTGGCTGGGGGCCCCTGCTTCTTCACCGGCTGGGTTTCCTTTTCCAGAATACAGGATTCGTTTTTAAAGTTTCACCGGCAGATCTTGTTTATTTGTGTTAAAGCTAATGCATTTAAATAGTATTAATGGCCCAATTTGTATTAATAAAAGCCGTTCTCCTCGGTGTGAAGGTTGACGGTGCTCGCCGCTCCTACCCCGCGCCGGTCTGTAGGGCTGGAGTGAGGGAGGGCCGAGCAGCGTGCACGGAGAACGCAGGCTCGCCTTGCCAGTCTGGAGGGTTCTGGGGAAGTTCGCGTGCGGTGAGAGAGGCGCACAGGGCTCACGGCATTAGCCAGCTGACCGAGGCTGACCACAGCTCGACCCCAAGAGCAGGCTGCTTGCCTCCGCTTTGGCCTCTGAGGTAATGTCTTGACTTTCAGGCTAAGGCTTCTGGTCCCCGACAAGGTGCACGCCGCTTATGTGACCAGAGCCATGGGTGGGAATCGGCGCTTGCCCCCACCTGCCAGCAGGCCCGGGTGAGGGGCGGGGACTTGCTGCTCTGACCTAGGACGGACGTAGGAGGGCTGAGGCTCCCTGGGGCCCTTCAGAAGCCAGCAGCCCCATGTGACCGCAGAACTGGAAGAACCAGGGCCACCTCCCGGAGGAGCCGAGTGAGGCCTGTGCCCCCTCAGCCCTCTGTTCTCAAGGGTGGATCTTCGGGCCGACCTGAGGGATGTTTCCAGCATCCCTGCTGACCTTGACCCAGCCCAGGTCTGTGAGCTGGGGAGGGATGCTCCCTTGAGCCTCTAGGCGCTCGTCCGTGCAGCCCTGCCCGCATGTGTGACCTCAGGCCCCGTGTTCGGCCTGCGTGGAGCCGGAGGGCTCCCCACCCCCACTTCCACCAGGCCTGCAGAGCCAGTGCGGGGACTGCCGGCACCCCTTGTCCGGGACCGTGGGAGCGCGTGCCGCGGGCTGGGTGGCTTGGGCAGCGGAAGTGTGTTCTCTCTGTTCTCTCACAGCTCTGGAGCTGCAAGTCCGGGGTCCAGGCTTTTCCCGAGCTGCCCGCCTGCCGCCCCTGCGTGGGTCCCTTTAGGGACAAAGGCCCCTGGGGTCGCGTTGCACGTTCTCCTTTTTTCGTTACAGGGACACCAGTCAGACGGCTCAGGGTCCCCCAACGGCCTCCTCGTAATCACCTCTTTAAAGGCCCTTTCTCCAAATAGTTGCTTTGTCAGGTGCTACTGGCTGTTGGGACCTCAGCATTGAATTTTGGAGGACACGGTCCCCCCAGTAACATGCTTTCTGAGCCTCTGATGGCCCGTGTGTAAGGCGGGGTGACAGCAGCGACGTGTAAAGTGGTCCCGAGGGGGAAATGAGACCTCCAGAGACCCAGCACAGGGAGCCCCTGCTGCCTTCGCAGCGGATGGAAGGTGCTCTCCAGAATCCTAGCGACCTTCGCGGTGAGCAGACTCTGCCCGGCGTTGTGAACCAAGTCTTCTGAAGTGCTCTAGACATTCAACAGAACTTGGCAAGGACACCCTGCCTAGTGGCTACGGGACACACAGCTTGCGTCCCTGCGGGCTGGCCACACTGAGCCACAGCAGAGGGTCAGCGTGTCTGGGGAGAACTCCCTGCAGAGCCGGGGAAGGGGAGGGGCCCTCCCACCTGTCTCGGTTCTGATGGAGACCAGCCCCGCCAGGTTGCCCTTCCTGAAGCTTCTCTGGAGATGCCTGGTGCTTTGTGCGTTCATTCACACCCACCCTGAAGATAACATTTGGCTTTCTTAGATGTGGGACGACCTCCTCTGGGGAAACACGGATGCGCGCACTTCGGGTTTAAGCTTGAGGCTATCTGCCGTCAGACTGGTGCTGCGGGAGGCCGGGCCACCTGGCTCTGACCGCCGTGGGAGATGTTTGTGAGGTGTCAGCTGTCGCCGTTTCCAGCGCTGAGCGCACTTCACTGTCCGTTTCTGACTTTTGATTCAGCTGCCGTGGTTTGGGCCCATCCTCATAAGCGTGGCTCTGGGCTTTGCAGAATAGAAAGTGAGGGGATGTGGGGCAGTGGGCCAGCCAAGTCTCAACGACACGACACGTGCAGAAAGATGTGCCTCGTGTTTCTTAACAAATTCCTGGTATCATTTGTTTCTTGTTACTTTAATCTTACGAGGAGAAGCCATTAAAAGCCTCCTGTAAGTGATTTTGGAGGTTCTGTTCCTTGGTAGCGAGTCAGGCCTCCGAAGGAGAGCACGGGGCCTCTTGCCCAGGCGCTGCCTGCAAGTGGGAGGCGTCACACTTACTCTGCGGCCTGGCTTTCGCGGCTCTGCGCTGCACTCTCGCCTCCCTCGAAGCCTGAGCCCCTGCTGGTCCTGCCTCTAGGGCCTTTTGTCTCCTCGCTGTCTGGTCTCCTCATTTTGCAGAAGCCCCCGTGAGGGCTTTACTGAGGACGCTGCTCTTCCTGCGCGCAGGCTAACTTCTGGCGAAGACCGTACCGGGCCTGCCTTTTCTCTCCATACACCATCTAGCCGTGCTTGTTGGTAGAACTGCGGTGCAGGGTGGAGGTGATTCAGAAAGGTGGAACCTTACATGGAAAATCAGAGGGGACCCTTTGCTGAGATCAGGACCACAAGCAGAGGTCTAAACCGGTCCCGAATCCTGAGGTTGCTGGCTGCCCCCAGGGGGTTGCTGCAGACTCTGCCCTCAAGCCACCTGAAGCC